GAGCGTGTTTAAAGCACATTTACCTGTCGTATGATAAGTTTGATCAGTGTGTTCTCATTTGAACGACAAAACCAAAGCTTGTGATGTGTGCAAATAATTTAATATTGGGGTGTTCGAGTTTGCTAGAAGCCGATAGAAAGTGAATGCAAGATACTGAGTACTCGCATGGACGTTGTAAAAAGGGATGAAACATTTTGCTTCGACGAGTCATGTTTAGTTTAGCAGGCATATTGTCAATGCAACCGGTTTATTTTTCTGCTAAAGATATGTGCAAACTTATCGATTGCAGATGCAATTAAGCCAGACTTCGGGAAATGTTTAACATAAGGCCAACAGCAGAAAAAGGCACGCGAAATTGAAAGAGACTGACCGAGAAATCTTGACCAATTCGGAAGAGAATACGAATTAGACCGCCACCGCCAAAGATGACGCTCTTTCATTTCATTTTTAAGTACTGGCCGAATGAGCTACGCTTACATCTGCCTTCATATAGGGGACTATTTTAGGATTAAACCTAGTGCATGTGTAAGGAATTTTGAAAAGGCATTTTCTGCCTTCTTGTGAGTGTGGTAGATAATAATTGTCCAACCATTATTATGACGCTTTTCAGCCTGAATATGTTGGCGCATTGGTGTTGCACTAGAGACATCCCTCACTGATGTCTTCGTGAGGCAAAATAAAACAGTATTCGTTCTGACTACTTGTTCTGCATGGTTACTAGTAAAACTGTGCACATTAGTGCTAACTTAAGTAACTACACTCGGATAAATCCTCGTGTTATCGTACTTGCAAAGGAAAATATGACTTGATTTAGGATTTTTTCACAATCTCCGATTTAACTATTCCCCAGAATGCATGTTTTGACCGATGATAGGAAATTGTACTTGTTAAGGCTGTTTCACAATAATCTGTGATATTTTGTTCGCAAGCCGCATATAAAGGATAGAACCTTGGCAGTGTCATAAATGTTTGCGTTGGAGATCGTGTATATTGACGTACCGACTGAATTTCATCAACGCGTTCACAGTCCGCACGTCGGGATCTATGCGATTTGTTTCCAAAATGTACCTTCGACGTATGTGCCGCGTGTAATTACTGCTTACAAAAAAAAATTAACTAACGAAACATTGTCAACTTCGGAAAGTGAATTAAGTTGCTGGATTCATGAACTAGGTGCAGGCTCACAACAAATCCCGAGTTGTAAGAAGTCATCCCATGTGTGTAAATAATGAAAACCTAGAACAAATAAGGACGCTGGGGCTAATTAGGGTTTTTTTATGAGGAAAATTTCCCCCAAAACAGCACAACGTGGAAAATTAGTAAAATAGGTTTTTTAGC